ATAAAATTCGTAGGAAAAAAAACTGCCTGGCATCATGGGAGGCCAGCACACACACCCAAAACTTAGGGGTACACATCCCATGAGCGTGCAGCCTCATGACTGCACCTGGCTAATTAGCATGGGAAAATATGTGGATAAAGCAAACCTTTGCAGAACATGTCCTTAACTGGAAGGCATCTGTAAAAGGCCTATAGTTAACAATCTACACTATGGCCAGCATAGCTAGGTTCTGGAAACCTGACTGGGATAAGGAGGGAATGAAGAAGGGAGTCACACAGACATGTGTACAGAAAATCTGGGATTGAGTGGGCTGTGCTCACTCTGATGCTGCTATGATCCCCATATATGTTCAAGTCTTGTCCTTGGATGTTTACTCTCACTACTCTTCTGATTAAATCCCCAAAACTTCTAAAAATGGGGAAAAACAAGGACCTTAAGCCTATGCAGACTACATAGAAGAATTAAAAGTCTCTGCTGATAAATATGATTTATGTGAACACATAAAATCACCAAAACCTAGTATAAGTGAATTCAATAAGTTTGGACATACAAAATCAACATAAAAGCCAGCTTCTATGTAGACATTCCTTGACTTAACATGAGATAATATCAGCCTTGTCTTTAAAATACCCTAGTTAGACTATACATGTAATCACCTATGTTGTAGGAATTCATTCTGCCAATAGCATTGGGATATTGGCCTTAGGGCATGCCCTGGGGTGCTACATGGGATGCTCACTCTCTCTTGCTCTGGCTCAGATTAGCATGGTCAGAGACCAAAGGGAACAGAGAATTGGTGCAGGATCAGTGATGGCTTCAGCATTACTCTGTACCTGTTGAGTTTGTCTTTTTAATTGCACTTCCTAATAAATAGGGTTTTAAAAATACCTTTGTGAGTTCACACATCACGCCTAACCTATAGAACATTGTGCTTTGGCAATGGCATATTGGATAGTAGTGGTTGTTTGTGCTGCCTGACATTTCAAGCATCTTCCCCAACCCCAATGCTGCAAGCCAGGTGATGATCAAAATCCAAAGCATAATTTAACCCAATGCTATTACTTTCACACTGTCTTAAGGTCAAGCAATCAAATATTGAACCATCTTAACTCAGGAGCTGTCTGTCTGAGTAATGGACAGATGTCTCTAAGAGAAAACACAGCCTTTCAAAATACAAAGCAAAGGTTACTGTGATGATGAGCAAGGACTGTCTGTACTCTAGCTTCCATGCCTTAACTATTAGCTAATACATCAATATTTGTACAGGACTGTTGGGAATCATCTCCCATCTACAATTCTGAGAAGAGCATTCTAACATGTTCTGGCTCCTTATCTCCCCACTTCCCCTTCTTCCTCCCCTCCTTTCTTCCTTCCCTTCCTCTCTCTTCTTCCTCTCCCCCTCATAAATCTGCTACCCTCTTTTCAACCAGCCTCGCTTCTGTTTCTTCCTTGAGAGTGTATCTCCTACTCATCCTACTTTATAATCCAGTACTCCAGGAAAAATTGTCTTAGTTTGCTTTCCTCTGCTGGATAAAACACTGGCCAAAAACAACTTGGAAGAAAGGGTTTATTTCATCTTACAACTCTCAGATCATGCCCTATCACTGAGGGAATGCAAGGCAAGTTATGCGTACATAATTTTAAAAGTGTCTTTTGCAATTGGTCAAAGAATGAATTCTAGGACTTCTGTGCTACAACTACACATTGCTGACAAAAAAGCTTGGAGAAGATGAAATAAATATGGAGACACACCAATTTATGTACTGGGAGATTCAATATCCCAAAGGGAGCAACTTTCCCCTAATTGGCACATAGGTTAATAACAATTCCTATCAAAATCTAAGCAAGTTTGTTTTAGATATAGCCAACAACATTTAAAAAATGTATACTGAAAGCCAATGGAGTTAGAGCAGCTAAAGCAACACTGCAAGCATATGAATGTGTTCAGAAAATCATGTGCACGTGTGTGCATGAATGTAGACACAGAAGACAATCTCACTGTGGTTCCTCAGGTGCCATCCGCCTTGCTTCTTTAAACAGTTCTACCATTGGTCTGGACCAGCCAAATAGCCATGGCTGCCCAGCTTGCCCCAGCAAATCCAGCTGCCTGTACCTCCCCAGTACTTAGATTACAAGTACACACCAGCTTTTGCATGTGGGACCCTGGTGTCACACTCACATCCTTATGCTTGCAGAACACATGACTGACTGATTACATTATCTCCCCAGCCAAAAGCAATTTTGAGAAAGAAGAATAAAATAGAAAAAAACAGTCAGATTTCAAGATTTACTACAGTTAGAGCAACCAAGCCTGGGCATATTCAGAGGGATGAGCACATAGATCAAGGCAACAGATCTATGTGAAACAACCCTACACAGATATGCCCAAAGGATTCTTGAATTGCAAAAGTAATTCAGTGTAGGGAAATTTTTCTTTTTAACACATGGTACCACAACCATATGACATTTTAAAAAAGCACACTCAACCTAAGTATCACACACTTTATACAAAATTGGCTTAGTATGGATCACAGACTTAAATATAAAAGACAGATGCGGGACTGGGGAGACCACTTCCTGGGTAAAACAAGAGCTGCACAAGCCTGACCGACCTGAATTTGGATCCCCAGAAAACACACAAAGGCTGAAGTAGGATATGTGTCTGCAATCCCAAAGCTCCTGTGGGAAAATGAGAGCCAGAATTCCCAGAAGCTCATGGGCAGTGAGGCTGATGTATGCTGCAGTGAATGATGAGAAAGAACCTGTCCAACACCACTGAAGACACGGACCCAAGGCTGTCCTCTGATCACTACACGTACACACCCACAACCACACATACAAACACATATGTACACCCCCCCCCACACACATTGAGATCCAAAGCACATTTGAATCAGAATGATTCAGATAAGATATAGAGACAACCCCAAATGCTGATGCTGGTAAAGATGTAAGTGTAATGTAGTACAGGCACTCCAGAAAGTTTGGATATGTCTTTATACCATGCAACTTCCAGATGACCTGGCAACTTCATCTGTAATATTGAGCACTGGAAATGCTCTACCTGTTTTTCAATCGATCCATGAGCTATCAAACAGACTGCATGCACTATAGAATACTCCTAAGCAATAAAAGGAATTGTTGACACACATGATTTGTATGATTCTCTAGAGTAGTGTTTCTCAACATTCCTAATGCTGTGACCCTTCAATACAGTTCCTCATGCTGCAGTAACTTCCAAACTCAAAATGATTTAATTGCTACTTCATAACTGTAATTTTGCTACTGATATAAATTGTAATGTAAATGAATGATATGCAGGATATCTGATACATGGCCCCCCACTGGGGCCATGACCCACAGGTTGAGAAGTGCTGCTCTCAGCACTTCTGAGAGAGAGAGAGAGAGAGAGAGAGAGAGAGAGAGAGAGAGAGAAAGAGAGAGAGAGAAAGAGAATTGAGCTGAGTGAGGAAAGCCAATCCATAAACATCATCTACTTATAAAAGTTTTTGAAATGAACAACAATTACAGCAGAATTCAGACATGTAAAGGAGGATTGGAGGCCAACTGCAAGTGAGCAAGGCTGTAAGACACCAACACAGGGCTCTTAAACTGATAGAAATGTCATGTAGTCTGACTGTATCAACGTAAATACCCCAACTGTGATACTATTCTGCAGATTCCCAGGAAGTCAGCACTAGGAGACACTTGACAAAATGGAAATGACATTTCTTTGCATTATTTCTTACAACAACATGAGACTCTATACTTTATTTATGATGGTTTAATTTAAAAGATAGAAAAAGCAATGAAAACAAATGAGTTACTGCTACACAAGCATGCCTGAGAGCCAGATGTGAAAATAAATGTGATGAAGTGTTCCATTTTTGTGAAGTTCAAATATGAGCAGTGTTAAATTAACCGTGTCAGAAGCAATGCACTACTGGGAAGGTGAATGGAAGAAGGAAGTAAGGGGCAGGGGAGAGACTTCCAGGGGTACTGCTGTCTCAGTCTGTGATCTGGTGTTAGCCTATGAGTGTGTAGTCAGTATGAGTTAAGTCTCATGATTTCTGAATTTTCAATATCTACATTATATATTAATTTTAAAAGTTTACCAAGGAAAACAAAATGTCCCAAGATAAGCAGGCATGGAGAGGAACGACTCAAATCAACCACAACAAAGGCTGGGCTCGAGCTCTAGGTTTCTAGTCACAGCCCTGTTTACACTAATGCACTTAATAGCTATTTCTTCAGCACATACTGGGTGCCAGGTGTTATTCTGCTTGTTGGGATACACTTGTGAACAACAAAGTCAGAGCCTTCACGGGTGGACCAGGAAAATGCTTCCTGGGGAGGTGTGTGCTAAAGATGGAATTAAGGCTGATAATGATAGTGTCATTACTGATCTTCAACTAGAGAGAAGAAAGGAAAACAAAAAGAAACGAAGTCATATTCCTCAGAAGACATCCAGGATGCCAGCTAGTGGTATGTTCTAAGAGGGAAGGGAGAGACATCCTTCTACAGAGTAATTCCAATTTTACTATGTCCCTTTCAACCTCATGACCTTACCAAAGAAGACCAGGAAAGTGTCCCCGCCCTACACAGGCCAAAGCAATATAGAACTTGACCTCAGTGGGTCAGAATTCACACACAACCCAGGGCTGGGCTGATGAGAGGGAAAGAGTTTCTCTGATAGAATGGGCAAAGGGACCTGAATGAAATGCTCCAGGAGGGAAAACCACTCGTGGTCACTAATTCTTGGATGCATTCAAATCCATTGCCTACTTTTTAAGTTCCACCTTAATATCAGGCAGTGATTAATTTTGCTACTCCTGTTTAAAAGCTTTGAAAGGCTGAGCGATTTCCTCACGGTTACACAGACAAGTACTGGCGAGGACAGTGTTCTCCAAGCCAGGGTCGGTTTATTCCTAATTCTTGCTTTCCACAAAGTCCCAGAGACTAAGGCAGCCGCCGCAGGCGTCCCCACCCCTGCAAGATACCTTCAGCAGGCTCTGGAGCGCCTCAAAATGCTCCGCTGTCAAGGCCGCCATCTTTCCGGAGTCACGTGACAACGGGAGCAAGAGGGACTTGGCACATGATACCTCGCGGGACATGCTGGGAGTTGTAGTTCTTCACTGTGGTAGGCGACAATGGCGCAAGAGTACTAGGGTGTACAGAAGCCCAGGAAGTCTCACTCCTCAAGGGTCAGAGGGCTGAGATGCTAGGAGAAATCGGGTGTGGGATGGTTTCCAGAAAGCAACTGTCTGGACTCCCTAGGTCAGGGAAACTCGTTTTGTCTTTGCCCTTTTGGGTAGGCGGCTGATTTGGGGAATGCACTTGTAGGTTTGGTAGGCACCTTGGCAGCACAGACGCCCAGATGTGATCGGTCTATACTGGCCATCCGGACTTAAACGAAGCTGTGCCTATTTGAATTCTTGGAGTTCACACATGCACGCCTGCAGTATACCGGGGGTGGGGGCAAAAAACAAAAACAAAAACAAACAAACAAAAACAAAACAAAACAAAAAAACCCGCAGTGCTCTTCGGCATATAGTTTCTTTCTGTTTATGGAGAAGTAGGGGCTCGGCATTATACTTAGCATTATCCAGACAGTGAAGCCAAACTGCAAGATGGGAAGTGACTCTAATTTCAAGAACCAGCTCCCTGAACTAAGAAAGAAACAAACTGGTGAAGGAGGGAGCTGGGCTTTCCCAGTTACCTAACTTTAAAGATGCTAATTCACCCTTGAATAAACACACCTAGATGAAGAGTTATTAGTGAAAGGTGAATGTGCCAAGGGTATGGACCACCTGATGCATGCCGTTGTTGTGTGTGAGCAGCCTCAGAAGCTGCTATAAGTGTCATAGCAGTCTTCTCCACCTCAGTGTTCCAGATGCTACTAACCAAACGTCTAACCATCAGTGAGAGAATTGTAAGTGCTCAAAGCTTGGCTGGAGATTCTGTGGAGTGTGCCAGATATCAACATGATAAAATGTCAATTAAAATGCTTCCAAAAGTTCTCAACTTGGAAGCTGAACAGCTGTATGGGAATAAGGGCCAACATGCTTGTTATAGACTGCGCTGAAATCCTCCAAACTGCATGTTTACTTTGAATAGATTAAATTCTATGTTTTATTTATTTATTTCCTGGAAAAAAGTGCATCTCGACACAGCTCTTTAATTGATAGATGCACTATAAGTTATCAAATTATGATGGATTTCATTTATTTCTTAGGACCTGCAATTAAAATGTAAATACCCATCTCTTCTGGATTCATCTCTTTTGCTGTGACAATTATGCTGACAGAAAGCAGCATATGGGAAGAAAAGGTTTGACTTACAGTCCCAAGTATCAGTCCATCATTGAAGCAGGAGCTTGAGACCATGGTCACACCACATAGGCAATCAGGAGCATAGAGAAAAACAAACACACCCATGCTGTTTGCATGCTGGTTACACTCAGCTAGCTTTCATCTCTCTTACACATTTCAATGCCCAGACCATGAAATGGTGTTTCCCACATTCAGAGTGGGTCTTCCCATCTCAGTTAACAACCAAGACAACCTCCCAGAGATATGCACCCAGGCAAACCCAGACAATGCCAAACGAGGTAATTCTTCTATTGAAACTCCCTTCTTAGATGGTTTATTGACTGCAGTGTGTTGACATCTAAAAACTAACCATTACAATTACTTAGGCTAAAAACTCCCACTGACGAGTTTCAAAAGATTTGGAGGTGCCGAACTGTGGAAGTTAGCCACAGAATACTGTAAGTCAGAATATTGGATAGAGCTTGTTTGTGTTTGTGAAAACTAAGCAATGAAGAGCATACAATTATTGCTACTGTTCTTTTTTACTCTAACATCCTGGGCTTTTGAAAGCTAGAAAGTGAAGAGGAGACAATGGGGATTTTTGCATGTATTCAAAAATGGTCTATAAGCAGTAGATCATGCTTGGAGTAGTGTTCCCTGTTTCCCACTATAGAAACCATGGATTGAATGTGTCTGTGTCTTGTCCATGTCCTAAATGGCCTGGTTGCTAAGATTAGTTAAGTTCAGAGCACAATCAGTGTGGCAGGTGATTCCTCAGGAAAATGGGAATCAGTCTACTTCAAGATTCAGCAATTCCACTCTTAGGATGCACATTCATACAACAAGGACATCTGTTCAACTATGTTTATAGCAGCACTATTTGTAATAGCTAGAACCTGGAAGCAACCTAGATGCCCCTCAATTGAAGAATGGATAAAGATGAGTATTACTCATCAGAAAAAAAAAATGGACTCTTGAAATTCACAGGCAAATGGATGGAACTAGAAGAAACTATCCTGAGTGAGGTAACCCAGACACACACATACACACACACACACACACACACACACACACACACACACACTCAAACAAACATAGTATGTACTCACTCATACATGGATATATGCTCATAGAGCATAAGATTACCTACAATCCACACCTCCAGATAAGCTAGGAAACAAAGAGGACCCTAAGAAAGACATATGTGGTCCCCTATGGAAGGAGAAAGGGACAAGATCTCCTGAGCAAATTGGGAGCATGGGGGGAAAGGAGTTAGGAAAAAGAGAAGAATGGGGGGGGAACATGAGGGAATCACAAAGATTGAGTCAGGGTAAGAAAGGAGGAGAGCAAGAAAAGAGATACCTTAATAGAGGGAGTAGTTATAGGTTTAAATAGAAATTTGACACTAGGGAAATGTCCAGAGATATACTAGAATGACCCCAACTAAAAATCTAAGCAATATGGAGAGGCTATCTTAAATGCCTTTCCCCTGTAAAGAGATTATTGGCGATCTTATATGCCATCATAGAGCCTTCATCAAGTAGCTGATGGAAACAGAAGCAGAGACCCACAGCTAAGCACTGAACCAAATTTCTGGAATCCAGTTGCAGAGAGGGAGGAGTGATGAGCAAAGGGGTTAAGACCATGCTGAGGGAAACCACAGAAATAGCTGACCTGAACAAGGGGAGTTCATAGATCCCAGACTGACAGCTTGGAAACCAGCATAGGATGAAACCAGCCCCCTTGCATGTGTGTGACAGTTTGGAGGCCCGGGCAGTGTATGGGACCCCTGGTAATGGAACAACATTTATACCTAGTGTACGAATGGACATTGGGAGCCCACTCCCTATAGAGGAATACTCTATCAGCCTAGACACATGAGGGAGGGTCTAGGCCCTGCCCCAAATGATGTAACTGACTTTGATGATTCCCCCATCGAAGGCCTCACCCTTTCTATGGGGCAGAGCACCCTTTCTATGGGATGAGGGTTGGTGGGAGACATGGGAGAATGGGAAGGCGAGGGAACCTGGATTGATATATAAAATAAGATTGTTTCTAACTTAAATAAAAATAAATAAAAGAAAAAAATGGTTCATAGCACACCATGGCCTCATTTCTCACCCTGCTGTCCCCAGGAGTAACATAGAAGCAGCTGGTAACACGGCAGCACTGTCCCTGTATTTGTACACAAGCCCCCTTTGTTTCTCTCATACACAGAGCAGTGGCTGTGACAATAGCCTTGAATAGCACTGTATCTTCCATTCTCCAATGTTACACTTGTTTATCAGTTCTGGGATTGGCGAAACAATGATTTCCTGTTAGCAGGATTTTCATATTCTATTTCCCTTTCCATCAGTCTTCAGGGTCAGTGAGTGGTGAGTGAGGCCCAGAGAGATCTGGATTGCCAAAATGTCACTACTGCAGGAGACTGGCAGGACAGAATACCTCATCTCTCCTGTGCAAGGTAGGAACCACCCTGGGAGAAGAAACCAGACAGGTAACCTGGAGAGAGGCTGAAAGCCTAAAATGGGATCAGTACAGGTAATAGCTGAGTATGTAACCCAAGGTGGATGGGACTCTGGATTGGAGACACCCTATTTACTTGAGAGACACCTCTGACTCACATATAGGGAAAAGCAACTGTGGTCAAGTTTGACAGCCTCACAGCAGAGCTGGTCTGCTGTATCCATGGTTTTCATGTCTGATAATGTAACCAGTATCGTATAAAAAAAACCATTTAAATTTCACCTGTCCTGAGCATGCACAGACATTTTTCCTTATTCTCGTTTTCTAAACAACACAGAATAATAAATATTTACACAATCTTTATGTTGTACTAGATAGTGGTGGCAATCTAGTGATGACTTAAAATATGTGGAACAGTGTGTATAGTTTGTTGAAGAAGGCTTTATCATTTTTGAAATAAGAGCCTTGTGCATGCATTCTCAGACTCTGCTGTCCCCGGGGGCCCTGAATACAATCCTCTGATGATAATTAGGGACAGCTATGCATTTAAAAGCATGTTTAAAGATTTATTGACTTCATGTGTCATGGTGTTTTGCCTTGTTATGGCATGTTCTGCCCAATGGTGACATTCTCTCTAAATTAAAACATATGCTCCAAAAAGTGGGTGGGAAAGAGACTCCCAAGCCTCATGTGGTAAACAGGAGGTCACAATATCCGGAAAGAATGGAAGATTGGATGATTCTTGAGGCCCCCCTCTATCAACAGTATAAAAGGAAGCAAACAGCTGATTGCCTCTGAGAACTTTGAGTGGCCAGAGTCTTCAGGGACATGTAGATTTATTCAAGTAACCGTTTCTTTTCTTTTTTTTAAAGATTTATTTACTTTTATTTTATGTGTATTGGTGTTTTGACTGCGTGTATGTCTGTGAAGGTGCCAGATTCCCTGGAATTGGAGCAGTTGTGAGCTGCCATGTGGGTGCTGGGAATTGAACCCCGGTCCTCTGGAAGAACAGCTACTGCTCTTAACCACTGAGCCAGCTCTCCAGCCCCTTCAAGTAACCATTTCTTTCTTTCTTTTTTTTAAAAACTGTTTCTAAATAGCAGTTGTTACTATCAAGTTCTTACTGTAAATACCATATACACATAGACAACACTCTATTATGTCATAGTGTTAATAGCAGTAACACCAAACACTTACACAGTTATGTCCCCCATTCTTACATAACTCATACCCAGGAAGTCTGGTTTTAGAGTCTGTTTTCCACCAGGAGCTCCTCATGTTGCCTATAAACTGAGAACAACACAGGACTTCACTTTGAGAGGTCATGCAATGTAATGCTAAGCCTGTGTACCAAATTCTCTGCCCTGGTCAGATATTTTCTTAAAGAGTTTTGCATTTATTTCCTCATCTATTCTAGGTAATAACCTAGTCAAGTGGATACCTTATTATCCCAGTTTAATAGGAAAGGAAATAGAGGCACAGACCCAGGGTCACATGACCTTTAAACGAAAGAGCCAGATTTGAACTCAGTTCCCACTGGAGTATTATGTGAATTTGAGGATGGTCCAACTTCTCTCATGGCTGGAAGTCAGTTTCCTTCAATGAACTAGTGTGTTTAGAAGACATTTACTCCTTGCCTTTATAAAATTTCTATACTTGAACTGTCAGCTGGAGGGATGAGATGTTAAATGACTGGTCTGCTGCCATCATCTTTGTCTTGACTGAGGAAGATGGGATTCCCCAGTGGTGACAGGGAGAGAATGGTAATGACTGCTCAGTGAGTGATGCCTCTTTCCTGGCTGTATATGGACTGAGGAGCTGAATACATAAGGTTGTAAATTTTATTATATATTCAGTATATTCAGGAAGCCAGCTGTACTTCCGCCCATCACTCTGTTTAATTATTCTCTGTAATGTGCCATTCTTGTCCTAGGATAAAAGTTAAAGGGAGTCTGTAATTCTCTTGGATGACCTTCAGGATCAAAAAATCCCTTGTTACTTATAGTTTTAATATTGTATAAATTAAAAATTGATATACTAAGCCCTGTGGGGGATACCGAACTTCCAATACTGTCTGGGGTAGAACCCTCCCCACCACCACCCATGGAGTCAATGTTATGCTTTTATTGAATTTGTGGGAGGGCAGAGGGGAAAAAGAAAAGTCAGTTTGGTTAATATTGTGGTGTGTTAGTTAACTTTCTGTTGCTTGGACAAACTTTAGTGGGGTTCCTCATGCTAGCTCACATGATGGGAGGCATCTATTCACCTCACAGCTACTGGAGAGCAAAGAGGAGAGATGTTTTAGTTGGGGTTTTCTGGAGGAACATGAGAGAGAGAGAGAGAGAGAGAGAGAGAGAGAGAGAGAGAGAGAGAGAGAGAGAGAGAAGGAGAGGGAGGGAGGGAGAGAGGATTTGTGTGTATACCAAATTATATCAGAGTTTATTAAGTCCAGTTGAAAATAGTAATAAAAAACGTCAAATTACACTTGAGTCACTAAGAACCCAATAGTTTATAGGTCCTCTATGTAAAAACTGACAACATGACCACTCCATGGCATGGCTAAAGGGAAGGTTTTTATTGTAGACATGAGGGAAAGATTAGCCAGAGACATCTGGAAGGATCTAAAGCAGAGTGAGAAAGTAGTAAACTGAACATGGCCAGCAAGCTGGACCTGATCATGAGAGATGCGGGAGCAGAGCAGAGAGGGACAGTCCAGGAGATCTTGAGAGTGGAGGGGACAAAAAGGGAGAGAGAGAGAGAAACCGAACAAGGAAGACAAAAGAGAGTGTAGCTGAAATAGCAGGCTTATAGGGAGAATGAGTAGCAGGGCAGGGCCCACGAGCTGGAGAAGTTCAGCGTAGATGAGGAGGTGAAAAGCACTTGGGAGCTAACATGGACTCTGAAATGTGTGCCAGGCCTGTGTGATACTGAGGGAACCTGGAGGCCAGCATGCACTTTGGCATACTATTAGGCACCACAGGCAGTCATTTGTCCTTCTGTCAGTGATAGGGAAATGGCTCCCTTTGGTAGAGGGGAACCAGCTTCACCACCCCCTGAGGAGTTCTGGCTCTTGTCTACCCACCAGGATTTTAGGAAATGAAGTTTCCTTTGGACCTAACACTTGAGACTGGTACCTCAACAGTAGGAGTAGTCCTACAACAGTGTTCTCTCACTGGATAGCAACAACAGGTAGTTTCTTAGTCCATATGGTGAGTGCCTCAGTAGTTCTAATCTAGGGCTGGAAGTCCAGAAGTTCCTCTGGTCCCTGTGCCACAAAGAAAGCTTGGAAACGCTGCTTCTGGTGGTGGTGAAGGAGCCAGTCGCAGCCTCAACAACAACAGGATGAATCAACTTAAGACCAGAGTGAAGGCTAACCTAGCAAAAGGCGAGACAACCTTCCTTCTGAAATACCTTTTTAATCTTGGTTGCTACCACAACCATGGTAGTTCGGTCAAGGCTGTCAGGACAGCTCTTTAGGTGAGGCTCCTTCCTCAGGTGGTTCTAAGGTGTGGCAAGTTGACATTAAAACCAACCACAATAAGAGAGGGAGAAGGTCCAGAATCCCTATCAAAGGCACAGTCCCAGTGACCCAACTTCCTGGAGAGGCCCAGTGTCCCAAAGCTTCCACCCCATTGCCAATGCTACCTCAGGCTAGTGACTAAGCCTTTAGTATATGGCCTTTAGAGGACACCTAAGATCTAGATGGTGACACTGGCTGTGCCCTAGGGTTTATCTTATAACATGACCTGTGGACACTTCAGATAGTGCCCTTCTTAATAAACTTTGAGGATCTCTGAACTCCCCAGGAAGTGGCTGCCTAGATCTCCCTCTTTAAGCATCAGAGACTGGGCTGCCATAGATATATCATAGACTTCAGGACTAAACAACTTAAGTTCTAGTACTAGAAGTCCAAGATCAAGGGTCAGACTTGCAGATGCATGCCTTTCTGCTGTATTCTATTGTCTTTCTTCTGTGTGTATATACCCCCAGTGTACACTGCTTCCGGATCTACACTAAGGACCTCATACTTTAACATAATCAGTTTTTAAATAGTGATTATGTATGTGTGTGTTTTGTATGTGTGCCATAGTGCATGTGTGGAGATCAGAAGACAACTTGTGTGTCAGCTCTCTCCTTCCACCATGCAGGTCCTTGGGATTGGCCTCAGATCATCTGGGTTGGCAGCAAGTACCATTATCCACTGAGCCATCCTACAGGCTCATAATCAGCTTTTTAGAAGTCCTGTTTCCCTATACAGCTATATCCTAAGTATTGGGAACAGAGGCTTCAGCTTGTAAATTTGGAAGGTACAGACAGCATATAACAGGCATTAACAGTTTCTTTGTACAAGAGTTTCTTCTACACTCAAAGCACTTGAGAGGGTGAGGCATAATGATTGCTGTGAGCTGAAGGCCAGCCCAGTCTGTACAGAGTGGTCCCCTCTCTCAAACAAATGAAACAAAACCAAATAAGCAAGGAACTACGGAGTCCACAAGTTACCTGTGGCATATCTCAGACTTGTAGAGATAATTTCAGTTTACTCTGCCAAGCCCAGAGCCCACTATTCCCCATTATTTCAGCTGGCTACATCCTCTCTGGAATTCCCTTACTTTGGGTAGCATTATGCAGACCTAAGTCCTTGGCCCTAGAGACAGTGCATTCCTCTGGAGCCACTCTTTGGGGGCAAAGCATGGATGGTTGGAGCATACCCATTGCTTCCCTCCCAAACTGCCTCTGTCCACTCCCAGCTGTTCCCCTTGTCCAGCCTTGTCCTGTGTGTTTGAGGTGCTAACTGAAAGGGCAAACAAGTTCCACACCACTGCTGTCCTTCCTTCTGCTCTGGGCATCACAGCTCGCTTTGGAATGTGCCGGCTATTCAGTTCAAACTGAGACCAAAATAGCTTCTACATCCTGCTCCCCAAACAACACCTCATTTTGCTTTCACAGAGAACCCTAGGATATTATTATCCACAGATGGGAGAAGCACCTGGAGCTAGG